TGAGTTACGAATAAAGCGCCGAGGTGGCCAAGGTTTGAACGCGCGTTCTGTCACCATGGCTTCGCAAATAACGAAATGTTCCTCTCTACCCGCAGACACCGATGCGCGGATTTCGCGTGCAATGGCTTTTTTAAATGCCATGATAACTCGTTTGTCTAAATAATTTAGTAGCTAATGGGCGTAAACCATGAATGGGCTGCACGCGTTCTGTCGCTCACGGAACCTATTTTGAGAACCCATGTGCAAAGCACCAGAGCATCAAGGAGGCGCGTCGCATGCATCGAAATGACTCCACGTTTACAGTTACTCGCTCACGGCAAACGCGCGCGCTTGGTGGACCGCACCCGGCAGCGTCGACATGAAAACCGCAGCGACTCGACGAACGCGCTCCACACAACAAAGACCTGCGAGTCAACCCCACTACGCTCGTCACTAGACTCGGTGGTTTTCAAAGGCGACACCAGAACACACCGCCTAGCTAGTAGAATCTGCACGCTCGATGCAGGACAGCACACTTTTAGGGGGTCACGTATATTTGAAACAGTTTAGAGGTGATTATGACGGAACCATGGGCGCCTTCGCCATCATATAGTGCGAAGTAAAAAAAAAAAAAAACGCGATTGGCGCGTCTTACTAGTGAGGTTGGTTCATTTTTTCCACTGAAGCTGAGCTTCGCATCGAAATTCTAGCTTTTGAAGCTGTATTTGAGGAGTGTGGAGCAATTCTCGCGATTTCTATGTTATTGGGACAGCTTGGCGCAAGAGAACTAAAATGTATCAAATCTGCACCACATCGGGGCTCACGAACGGTGCGTGTGTAGAGACATCGTAGCTGATAAGCACACAGCGAGCAAACGTCACGAAGCCGCCCGCGACAAGCGACGATAGCTTCCTGCAAATACGAAACTTTAAGATCTACGTGCACGCAATTTTGGAGCGACGACGATGAGATTCGCTGCCGCCATGGCTGCGCGAAGGGCCGTTCGTCGCCATCGCGTCGCTGGTGTCTGCAAACCCAGAAGAAAGTCACTTGTCGCCCAGAAAGGAATTCCGTGGCCCCCGATTCTCGCTTCGGTTGCAATTTGCTCTTCGTGCGTACTAACTAGATCAAGGAACACAAGACTTACTTTTCTTCTTTATCCTCATCTTGACAGCGATCGCAGACACCGTTCCCGCCTTCAACGCCAACTGTGAGGACTACTCAACTTGACGGTTCGTTTTATAGCTTCGTTACGCTTACTGCAATGCGCGTTGGTTGCTTGATGCAATGCTTCGTTAAGCTTTTGCTTGATACATTGTAACGGTCGTCGCGGAGGTTGCCCACAGAACACCTTGCCGAAAAGTTCGCTAAGTGCGTCCTGCCGCATGCTTTCGAAAGCATTCTACACAGCTGGACGAAAACGTCTAGCTAGAGCCCATACCAAACAGTATTCAGGTGTGGCTGCTTCGTTTCGTGTGCCCAGAATGCACGATACAATTGGCTCGCTCTAAGAAACACTTTGCCGCTGTGGATGGGGAACACGTCAAGCTAATCAAATCGCTTACGCGCGTACGTTTACCCAAATCACTTCGCTGCATGGGTTTAATCCTTTTTAAAAGACAGAAGGGGTTTTTTGAATAATATGGGCCCCAAAACCCAGATCCCGCGCTTCGGATCAAGCAGGAACGAATAGTGTCTGCGGCGCTTTGTATATTAACCCAATTCTTGTCCATGCCACCACGTTTGTCTGACGCAAAGCTTTTAGGGCTCTCGTTAAATTCGATAAATAGCGCCCAAAACCCAAACGCGGTTTCAGTTCTGGTGCGTCGTCTTCATATTATTAACAAACGAGAGGTATCCTCCGATGTTCGGTAATGTTACCATTGTAAATTAAGCATATCCTCCCGCCATCACACATTTCAGCCAGTATTGATCACCCTAACAAAGTTAATCCCATCTTCCCGGGAACAACAAAAAAAAAAAAACAGAGCTCGCCCTTAGCCCTGTCAATAACCAACTGGAATTCCTTGCCAGCTGATGTAGCCACTCTAACAGAATCATCATCCTTTCTGAAAGCGGTACAATCGATTAACGTAGTTATGCGGTGTTGTTGTTCATGCGAATTACTTGAATATTTTTGTGTGCGTTATTCGCGCCTACACTTGTTACCTGGAGCCTATTGTATTTTTATTGACGTTCCCTTTCTTCTGCAGTGTTTATATATGTTTTTTTTATTATCCTTATCACCACTGTTGTGTGTGCTCTTTTTTTTTTTTCATCTTTTTCCATTTGAGCTTTATATAATGATGCTTCTGAACAGTTAATGTATCTTACACATGTTTAAAATCTTCCTAATCCCCCCCCCCCCCCCATGTGATGCCCTCCCGGGTCCTTAGGGTATGTAAATAAACAAATAAATTTTACTGTGCTCTATGCCTGCACAACACGAAGTACAGGTGTATGTATACACTGACGCTGCAGCTTTCTGCTACAGCTGCAAATAAACATTATCAGAATCTAGTTTTATATGGACGCTTTGGACACGTGCCTGGATGACATTAATCTATCATTAAACATAAGAAAGAGCACAATCGTCGTTTCATCCAAAGTTTCCCTGCGCAGATTTCGGTACTTTACAGGCAAGACGTTACCACTTATACCGAATAACTCAATTGGAGTCCGCATATAGAAAATATGGCAGCTAAAGGAACTCGGGCGATAAAGATTCTATGTAGACTTGGCAGTAATTAAACGACAAGGTTTACATCCCGATGTCCTCCACCCTATAATGGAGTGCGGCTGCGTCTCATTTTCTGAAGCACCCGACTACAAAAATCGACCGCGGGAACTTCTAGAAGGCATATTATTACAGTTATGTGTTGGGCTCCGTAAATTTGTTGCAAATATTTTATATAAATATAAGAATGCCTGCCTTCTCTTCTTACAAGGTTCCAAATTCTAACAGTTCGTGTCTTCCTGAAGATATCTGCAGTATGTTTTTATTAAGGAGACGACATCTTGTTAAACCAACAGTGGTCTAGATTAAGGGGCCCCACCCCTATGTCATCCTCATACAGAAACTTGGCAACATTACACGTGAACCTTCATCATATACTGATACTAAAAGGAACCATTTGAAAAATTACAGTAATGTTTGACTATATACTCCCAAGAATTTCAAAGATCTTCCCAGTAGGTACCTAAATGCCATTTTGAAAGACCGTCTGGCGAGTATAGAATTAAACATTGCAATTGCAGCTGATTCTTCAGTTTCTGAAGGAGGATTGCAAATTGCATCGAGAGGTTTGGCCTTTTTCAATTTGTTTACATGACTTTACATACAGTCTACAACACATGCGGTCATTCTGACCGGGTGCCTGTCTATCTGTTCTTAATTAACTGCACCTAATCTGTCAAACCTTAAAAGTATTGTATACTCTTGTCGCCAGACATTTAGGTCTCATTCGCTTGGTGTGGCTACCAGGTAACCAAGGTTCAGCCCTCAACCAATATGCAGATGCATTTGAAGTGGCACCTCATAACAGTCCCACATTTTCTATATTGCCGACGCTAGCATGCTAAGTCTCGCTTGGCAACATCCAAGTTTCCTCATCGTAAATATCCTTGGAAAAATGGATAGTGCTCCTCTAGAAGGGTGGAAATGTCAATTACCACACCACAGTGCAGTCCCCCCCACCGCTGAATTTTTACCTACAGAAGTCTGGTCCGATACAGTCATCCGTATGCCTCCACAGCAACTAAAGTGAATCTCTGAATCATTTCCTTTTAACATGTAGATTTGAGAATAAAAAAAAAAAGATGGAACCTCTTCGTGGGATCGCTATAAATTCATACCTTCAGGTGGTTCTTTCCTCTGGAGCAATAGAAAGGGGCTTTATCAACAGGAACATTTACGAAGCCGCATATGTAGGGGAAACAGAACTAGTTGAATGTTAAGAGTGTAGCCATAAATTTACTTTGTGCCTACACTGTTACCATCTGTTACTAATGATTTTGAAAACATCCTCTCTCTATAAGCTTGTTCGGTTTTCATGTTTGCTAAGCTGCATGCCATTTCCTAAGGGAAAAAAAATGAATAGAAAATTAAGTGCGTAGGCATAAATTCACTTCATCTGAGCCCTATCGACTTGTAGCGTTCTCCTATAGTTTTCTTTCATTTATGACATTTTTCATCCATTAGCAACGATTTTAAAAACATCCATATATTAGCTTGTTGGCATAGTGAAATAGCATGCAACGACCAGTGGTGGGCTCACAGTCCTTCGTTTCCTAATGGCACGGTTGAAGACTGAATGCATCAAGAACAGAAGATTAGGCTAGCAATTGAGAAGGCGATGTGCCCGGGGTCCTATTACGCTATCACGTTGCGTTCCTGATGGCGAAGCTTGAGCGCAGGCAGTCAAATAGCCAGGGGGCGGCAGCATACGGAGCCCGTGCCAAGAACTTTTTTTTTTTCTTTTTTTCGCCAATGAGGTGCACGTCCCGCAATGGTGGTGCACAAGGTTCAATGAGGTGCACACCCCTCAATGAACCTTTCCATCAGCGATTCTCCCATATCTGTAAAGCTTGTTTTATAAAACATGCAAGCCACCTGACACAGCATTAACAAAGCGGTCCACATCCTTGTGGCCTGAGCAGTGTTGCATTAGTGAAAAAATCGACACTGCAGCCTTTCAAATGATGCATGTGTGGGCTTTTGACACTCGGTGGTCTACTTTCAAATTAACACTTAAATAAGAACCATTAACCAAATGGCTACCTTTAAAGCTCGTTTGATGAATATGCAAGTCACCAAGTCCACAAAATTTTCTATTCCAGCACACAAAGGAGTTGTCTTGTCAGAACAACACTCAGTGGCCTACTTTTATATTAACTCCGACAAGGAATATTAACACTGGCTATTCTGTCACGTGCAAAGCTTGTTTAATAAATATGTGAGCCACTCGGTCCACATTATTGCATGAAAGAAAAAAAAGGTGGGAGGGGACCCAAAGGCCAAATAGGCTTTCAAATGAACACTTTAATAAGAACCATTAACATCAGCAAAACACTTTCAAATAAAAACAGTGAATTTCATTATAGACTGACATTACAGTCAATGACGTTTTCAATATAAAAATATTGCTATGAAATATGTACATGTACAAACTCAGTGCTACAGTGAGTCACAAGATAATGTCAATCAATGGAATTGACTACACCGATGAAATGGTGATTGTGGAAAAACAATGAAAACAAAGAAACACAGGAAACTAAAGAAGTTAGAGGAACGACAGAATAGAAGCAACTACAATGTCATATTTCTCACAACTACAATGTCATATTTATAAGTAAATATATGTATATATATTTATATATATATATATATAATATATATATACTTTCTTATGTATATATAAGTACAACACTTTTATTTTACATGGCAACAGTGCAGAAAAAGACTGCATTGTTATTGTCTCTCAAAGCGTGCTGCTCTGAAAAAAATGCTGAACATAGCTGGCAGGACCATTGTCAAGGAGGGGCGCGGAGGGAAGTCTACAACATAAATAACAGCTGTTGGTGCCCACAACACTTGCGTGCACACACACACAGACACGCGCACACTTGCAAGCAAGTTTGATCCAATTCTTTTACAAAACAAGTACGGCTGGCCCCTGACAAAGTAACAATAAGGGAAGCGTACTAGCAACAACTGAAATTCAATGGTTTATATTACAGGAGAACACACACACGCTGGCTTGCGGTCTGATGGGAAGAGAAAAAAAAATGTACAAAATGTGTCCAGACAGGAGATGGCGGAAACACCTTCGGTGGGCAAGTCAAGACCTGCCAGACACATCCAAGAGAAGCGCAGGCCAAATATCCCTTGGAGGTTGAGAGGAGGTCCAACTTTTTTTTTTTTTTTTTTGAGTTCCTCTGCCTATGGCACACACACTTCATTTCTTGTTGGGGTTTGAAGCAGAATTTGCCCTTAGAATCACCAAAGCATCCTTCACAGCATGGTAGATCACATTTTTAATCTGCAAAGAACATTTTTCCATGTTTAACAATGAAGTTTTTATGTGGCTAGTGTATTAAGGCACTGAGCGGCTGAATGACACTCCGGGCTCGAATCGCACACATTAGTTACAAACAGGAAGAGCTTTGGGCTACAAAAAAAAAATTGTCGGACATTTCGTGGGACAGGGCAGTCATGCGAAATTTTTGCTGTTTTGATAACTCCCATGACTGTTTCTATTGCATAATACCCCTCCCCCAAAAATGGCGTCTCAACTTTTCTAGAAAAAAAAAGGGGGGGGGGGGGGGGCTCATTACACGAGTAAGTACGGTATTGTGGTGTTTTGGCGGCAGCTGGCCAGGAACAACCAGGCACAACAGAACACGTCTTTACTCGTCCAAGCCTCAGCCACGATCATGATAATGACAGTGTATCAGCGGCTGCTCAGTGCGAGCTCCTAAGCATGTCATCGTTCATCGCTTACTTCTTCTATGGTCAGCGCACCCGCAGCCGCCGCTTCCATAATATGTATCACCAGCCTACTAAGACCTTTCATGCACGATGGTCACCCCAGGCGACCAACAACTTTGTTGACATGGCGCTCTCGACTTACCGAGTACAGCTTTTCATTTATTAATTCGATAGCGTTAGCTACTCATACTCTACACTATACATGATAGGCACAGCACATACTTTTATATCTATAAAGATATATCGCGCCCACCATGTAGCGCGCTTTGTGAACGATAGCAGCTGGAAGAAATCAAACGTAACATGTCACATTGAAGCCCAAAATAAGTAGCGTCACCTTTATCAGGCTGTAGAAACCTTTAAAAAATGCGCGATTGAAAATCCAACACGCTGGGCTCACGTGTTTGAACAGGAATAAAAAGAAAAGAAAAAAAGGTGGTTACCTTGAGTGACTACCTTGCTGGAAAGAGTTAAATTACAGTTTCCCTTCACAAGAAACACTGATATAAGAGACACCAGTGTGCCTGTATTATAATATGGGTCCAAACGGAGAGGCATGTGAGGTACCCTGCTTATAAGAGATATCTCGATTAAAAACAAAAATTGCTGCTTGTAGCGCACCAGTTAAAGGGTTCAACTGCACATTGTGATAGCCCAATAGTTTTGCACAAAGCCTGGATGGGATTAGGCAGGCCAGATCCGGGAGACTTCGGAAGTATGTGAATGACATTGCCGTCAACATGACAGAAGGTGCCAAATTGGCATCTTATTTCAATTTGCTACACCCCTCAGAAGATTGGGGGGTGAGGACATATTTCTTACTACAACACTAATTACACCACTAGTGTAGCAGAGTGAAATACCTTAAGGGAAGCCCAACAGCAGGGAGAGGAACAACAGCCCTGTTGGGTGCCAACCGTAATAATGTGCGTTCGTCTCTATTTTTTTGCTTCATTTATACAGCATGACAGATTTACATTTCATTCATGGCAATATCGCGAGGTGCTGCTAACTTCGATGAGCACTTAGGTGCACTTTAAAACCAAACTAAAAAATGTCCTGACTGAAACTTGCACCCAACACTAATAATTTGTCACAAGTTCCCACACCTACAAACGATCGATTAAGAAAAACATATTGAGGCTTAAATTTTGGTGCCACTGAGCATTTGTTAGAATTACATACTTTAATTTGAAATAAAATTGGCATACCTGCTTACCTGGAGCTTGTCCTCATGGTTCGTGTGGGTGTCAGACAACTGACGGAATTCGTTGGTCAAGCAGAAGCAGTGAGCAATGTTTTCTGGGGATACAAAGTCTTCAGCCACTTTTATACAGCTGTGCAAGTTTCGCACCTGTGAAAAATAAAGGTGCAATATTATTCACAAAGTCTTCAACCACTTACAAGCAGTCATTGCATTTACCACCAGACTTGCGTGCAACAGCTTATGCCTGTTACTAGGATAAGCGCAAGCCCTATATCAGCAATAATTTGGAATTTACGACCAATGAAAACATGCTAGGAACTGACCGCCAATGTTATGAGGAAATAAGAATGTGCATTTTTATGAACGGACCAGAGCAGAACGCTAAATAAAAACAATATAGCAACTCCGACCTACAAACCGTGCCTTTTGATAAGTGTGCATCTTCACAGACATTTTCTCACTTAGCATAACCTAATAAGAAACACTGATGTAGCCGACTACTGAGCCTAAGATACACCAGTGTGCTTACGTTCAAATAGAAGTTCATTAGGAAATGCATGCGTAGTACCCTGCTTTTACGAGAAACCTCATATGAAAGACAAGAATTGCTTCCCGTTGCATGTCTCTTTAAAAGAGGTCCGACTGTGACATGACTAACTCATACGGCAGGTTTTCATGCTCTCCATTATTATGAAAATTGCAGCTAATAGTACAGGCACAGTGAGCTAGATGTTATGCAGTTAAACATATTGCCAGTAGAGACGCACCAGGGAGAATTGCTAGTTTCTCACATGTGGTGTTTTGTAATGTGGTTTACATGCAGCTATTAATTATTCGAAAGGGAACAACCTAACTGCTCCAACATGTGAAAGCCCTCCCGACTAGACTTCTGTGTTCTTGCGTTTCACTAAGTCAGAAAACAAATGATAAATTTCCGTGTTACTCAATCTCTGCGAAGCATGCAAAGTTTTCCCATTAATTTCAGGTAGGGAAATTTTGTGCTTTAAATTATCTCTACAGCTGCTGACTGGTTAATCAAATGCTATAATTTTGGATGAGTTCATGTGGGTTATTCGGACTCCTATGAAACACCACCAATCAACGCAGTGTTGTAATCAGTGATGCAACAGCCACAATAGAACATGAAGCAACTTTTAGGCACAGCAAAAGGTTACTTTTGGAGCACTAAAATCCAAATTTGGTGCAGTACGAAAAAGAACCCTTTCAGTTAGAAAAAAATTTACGTACAAAACATTCAACCGACCTAAATCGCCAAGAGTGAACACGAGCACAGCTATTTCATGGAAAGTAGTACGACAAAGCTAGGCTAGAACAACGGAGATTGCGAAAAAGTTTGTTGTAGCGGGAATGCGCAGAGTACCCTGGGGGGCTCAGGCACCCCGATGATATGTGGGGTTTGTCCCAAAACCACCATATGACAGAGACGCTGTAGAGGAGGGCTCCGGAAATTTTGACCGTTTGGGGTCCTTTAACGTGCACCCAAATCTGAGCACACGGGCCTACAGCATTTTCGCTTTCGTCGAAAATGCTGCTGCCGCAGCCGGGATTCGATCCCGCGACCTGCGGGTCCGCAGCCGAGTACCTTAGCCACTGGACCGCCACGGCGGGGCGGGCTTGGGCCCCCTCTGGGCTGCATCATGGGAGGTAGAGCACCCTCTGGCGCGGACCCTGGTTATTTTTTAGAGCTTGGCTTATACTCTTGCCACACTACATCTGCTATGTCATTCGCTGTTAATGACATTAGGTGTTAATGTCATTTTCGTTGCTGCTACATGGGCATCATAAATTACAATTACACCTGATCACATTCACAGCAGCTGTGTTCACAGCGTTAATGTGTTCATTGAACTGATGGAAGCGAAACATTTGTTCTTCCGTCAACAGGCGCTTGACAACAGATCACAAAATCGAAATCTTAAACCAAGTGGAAATTATGTTCAGATGTTTATTAAAGATTGTGAACTTTTCGGTGACTTTTTAACGTGCAACACTAGGGTAGAAGCAAGTTGTGCAGCTATATTTTCTTTCCCAGTCTCCGACTTGACGTATGGAGCCTCCTGTCGGCCATGTTTTAAAATGTTCACTACTGTTTCTGTGCAGGTTCATTACTGTTTCTGTGCAGGCTCACTGCGTTAGACTCCCTACTAGCATAAAACGCATGCACATATAGGACATCAGTTTAGGGAGAGTGTATTTAAACAAATTTTCCTTTTTTGGGAAGCACCACAGTTCTCTGTTATTCGCTGACGAAGTCGAAGCCCAAAGAGCAGCCGAGTAAATGAATTGGCACATAGGCACATCTCCAAATTCCTTGGCGGCTGTATTCTTTCTTCAATATCAAGCATGAGGAATTTTAGTCATTCTTATGCTTCATTAGCAGCAGCTGGAGAGAAATTGTCACTCGTTTGCACTGAATATAGTCTATCTTAGTCACAAATTCATGAACACTGTTAGGTTCCAAATATTGCAGACGGCAAGTTGTGAGCGGCTTTAAGCTAGTCTTACTTTGGTGTGAGAATATTTTTCTACCAACGCTGTTTCATTAAGTCACAGTATATTTTCAACAAGTGGCACAACATTATGCAATGTTATGTAAATTAAATGCACTGCTTGTAACTTTTGGTAAGATAGCGACTTGTCGATAAACATTGACGTGTATTGCGAATGTCATTTCACGTAGCCATGAAGACCCGGATTGCAAGATCGCAATGGCATTATATTCAAGCTTAGTTACTGCAAATGACATTACACGTGCCATGTGACAGATGTATTAGGCTCTCATCTAACGCTAACAGGCTAATGGCTATCCTGTCTTGCAACTTCCACACGGAGCCGTTCATGCCCGCTCCTTTTCATTTCATGCTCTCAAAATTCAGAACATGAGGCAGTGACAAGTAGGGAGTGGTGCTGCGGTTATATACATAATGAAGTCCCAGGATGACAAAAATTCCGGTTTACGCTTAGAAAAAATATATATATACAGTAGAATATCGATAATATGAATACGAAGGAAGCACGTAAAATATTCGTGTCATCCTGAATTCTTTTAAACCAAAAAGAATATAAAGCTGATATTAAAGGGAAACTAAATTCAAATAACGTTTTTTGTCAGAGTGAAATTTCAATGTATGACATCTAAAAGGACAATATTATCAACCACAGTGCCCTACTTACCAAGATATTAAAGTGAATTCACAAAAACACAAGCACCGCTGTAGAAAATTTCAAAATGATCACCTACAATTAATCACTAGTAATCTTAACTGCACTAAATAAAAAACCTGTGTATCAAGAGACGAAATAAAATGCCGATTGTTAATTTCTGTTTGATTTATGGAAAAAAGAACCGCCGGACGTTACTATGGGGAATGGCGCCAGTGGTTCGAAAATTCTATGTTCGCGTGGTTACACGGGACAGGTTGTGCCATCTAGCTGGGTGCAGTTAAAACAAAAGCGTCTACAATCTCGAAGCCAATGATGAGAAATCGATCAATGGCTGTTACTGCTGCTGTGGCTCCCCCTGTTTTCGGTCTGCTGCTACTAGCGCAGTAAAGCCGGGCAACATTGTGCGCTAACCCGACGGGGAGCACGAAAACGTGGTTTTATTTCAAAATAGGCCCTTCCTTGGCACAAAAGTAACACTACGATGTTTCTAGACTGCCATTTCAACAATCAACGTCGACTTATTAGTTGACTTAGTGTCCCTTTATAGATGAACGGTGTTCTTTTGAAATTTCCTGCCTTCACTGTCAATAAAGTGCCGCAGTTTCCTTGCTCATGCGGCGCATTCACAGTTGACATCAGAGGGAGCGAAAGCGGCCAAACTCATTGGGAACTCACTCAATTTGCCGGCCGAAAATCACGCTGCAAAGTTGACACGAAAAAAATGAGTCCTGGAGAATTTACTCTAGAAAATTCAAGCGAAATTGCCAGAGCGACCGGAAAACCACATCTGCACCCGTCAAAAATGTTCACATTTGTTCTGCCCCTCGTATACAAGCCACCGGCGCCAATGCCACTTGAGAATTCATTCCATTTTGCCAGTTTCCTGAGCACTGAAGTTCGTACCGAATTCGAACTACGCATGCAAGCCACTGAAAAGAAACAGTTTACACCTTTACTAACATTATTTCGGAGATACGCCAGGAGAAATGAAACAAGCGGACACAGCGGCGGCGGCACCAGATACAGCCGGCAGTGCAAAAGAAAGACATGTTGGGGTGCCGACTCGCTGCTGCTGCACTTTTTCATACTTCCGGTGTTATCAGAGATCGTAATCCAAACCAGGCTCTCGAACGCGTCCTTGTCAAGGCCTTGAGCCGCGCAGGTAGTTCACCATAGCGATCTACTGCCGATGCCTTTGCCGCCATGTTGAATCAGCAGCTCGTTTACATCACCTGGTTTGAGAGATAGAGCAGCGGGCGAAGCCAAAGCGGTGAAGCAAAAAGGGGATACGCTATCGCATGAAGGGGGTGGGAAAACTGGTCTCGGACAGACTTTTTCATGTCGGCCTCGCGGTGTATTTTTGCGGCCACAAAAGCGAGGAAAGTTCTGGCAAGATTCGCCACATTTCCTCCCACTGAAAAAACAATGAAGTCCACATTAGCATTTGCTGCGTCTGTCAAATCATTGACATACTCTGCCAATTCAAATGTGGCTCTGCCAAGCTGGCGACCGTCAAATTTGGCACATTCGTAAAACCAAGAAGTACGGGTGGGAAAAAAAGAAAAACTGACGCACAGAAGGTTCTTTCTTTTCTTTCCTTTTTTTTTTTTTTTAATGGCACCAGAAATGTCATTGGCATTGCGGCTTTGGGCGGGTCACATGAACTTAAGTCAACTTTGGTGCGTTCACGATTGTATTAGCGGTCGAATAACCAAAAAAATGCTCAATGTAGACTCTGAATGCGGGCCAGCTAATAGGAAATGCTTGTTAAAGAGCGCACAAGAAAAAAGAAAATGCAAGGACAGCTGATGTCATGAGTACATTTTTTGTTATCCCATTCAGTCACTTCAATTATTAGTTCGCGTGGTTCAACTTGTGGCTGGTGGAGTACATATGTCCCGGGAAAATTTTGTTAAGCCACGGGAACAATAAAAAAGAGCCTCATTGTGGAGGAAGTTTTACTACATTAAGCCTATCGAATGCGGGCGGCGAATTGAGAAATGTTCAATGAAGCGGACATAATTGAAGCGGAGCTTGACTGTGTATCCTCAATTAATTGAACACGCAATGAAGTCCACATTAGCATTTGCTCCACCTTAGGTCTCCACGTTCAATGAAACCACCCTATCCTTTCCTTACGTTCCCCATGCACGTGAATTCATGCACAGGTGCAGCTACACTTACAATTTTATTTACTTTAGGTGTTAATGAGGTGCATTTTCAAGCCAAAATATTTTCACGTGAGATAAACTTATACGAATTCTCTATTCAATAAAATACCTAGACAACTGCTACATTCCAGAAGCGTTACGATGGCGTGAATATTCATCAGACAGGATGTCATCATGCCACCTATATGAAAGGTAAACGAAGCTTGTAACTTCATTGTGTTTGTGCACACTCAAGAGTAATGATGTGCTCACATAACATGTAACCATATCCACAACTGACAACTTAAGAGCTAAGAATGATAACACACCTGGTGTGGGGCACCTGCTGGTATGAAGACTGCTTCTCCAAGACACTGGGCAACAGCGTAGCCCTCAACGGCATATTCACGAAAAAGGCGCTCGCGGAGCTCGTGATCCAGATACCAGCTCTGGTCATGGATAGGATCATGGTGGGGCTCCAGCTTCTCGCCACGCTCCAGTGCCACCTGTACCATAAGCAAGGTGGCCATCATAAGCAGTTGAAATTTACCAAACTGCACTCAGCACATTTGCATGCACAGTTGTCTTGACGCTGCCACATGTGCAGGCTTGAGCACTGGTTGCACTGAAGCTTTCGAACTTCCAGACATTGAAAAAAAGCTTCGTTATGAATATACCCCAAAAATAACGCTTGATCAACCATCGACCACCTTTGCGGTACAAAGCAGGCCGTTGAGGGCCATGCCATTTGCTGCTCAAGTCCTTGGGTCTATGGTGAATGGCCACTTTTTTACGACGTGAATATTGAGGTGTCTACAAGGGTTCTGCAATCATGTGTCTGCTTGGCGCTGTCAGAAAACAACAGCCAATTTGTCTCGCTTGAAATCTTCACTTTGGTACTGCGTGGGTAGTGCCATTTACATTAATGATGAGTACAATGAGAACGTCTCATATTTACACCCAATCAGTCAAGTTGCTAGGAGCACTGTAATGTGCAGTGCTCAGCTGCATCGAAGTTCTTTGTGCCACATCGTACGTTATATACAATCTCAGCTGTTTTACAGCTCAATTAGCTAGCATAATGCAGACAATGACGCACACGGCCACTATGATTGTGTATGTTTCCCGCAGCGACGAGTTTCAAATGACATCGACACCTGATCTCACACCACAAGCACTTTCAGGCAAACTTTGGAGAAAGAACAGTACTGCTTGGGAGCAGCCATAAGTGCTTTCGGAGCAAAAAAAAATGCTAGTTTGAAGAAGCTATTGGTAATTTACAAGCAGATATTACATTTGCCATACAATTATTGGAGTTCATAGCATTGTCCAAACAACTCAAATATTAACATTTATTATGAAGTATATTTAACCAACAACAATAAATGTGAATTTCATGAAGCAAACAATGGGTAGTTGTCAAAACTGTGCTGTGAAATGAGCTATAAATTAAAATACTTGTATTTGTGGCAGAAATCAAATCAAACAGGAATGTTGAGTGCCACATTTTATAAAAAACCACCGTAACATTTAACTGTTGCCAAATAAGCAGCAGATAATCGATATGAGATGAAAGCACTCCTGCTTATTTACACATTTCACCACACTATTCTACACATTTACACACTTCACCACACTAGAAACATCGTGGTGCAGTATGTCTCCTTGACTAGATGCTCACCGTGTCACTTGCCTTCACATTGCAGCGACAGTTCTATCCAGTTCTCAAATCTGCGAGGCGGCACTCACTGCCTTACTGACTTCTGGCGGCAGCAGAAATGCAGGGTGTCTGCTAGTATGGTGCTGATAGCACTTTCGACATAGTAACAGGTGCAATGGCAATTTCAGAGGCACCACCACATGATCTCTGTTGCAGGCGTTCACCATTCATGGCGCTCGTCGCCTTTCCACGAAGAAAAGAGGAAAAGGGTGCGAACCTAGCTTCGAGACCATGCGACAGGCATTTAGTAACAAAGGCATTGGCCATGGCTGCCATACTTTCGAAACCTTCAAAACTGTAAATGCTGTGATTCGACACACGCCAATCCATTGCCAGTCGTAGCTTCAGCTAAGCTTAGTCAAGACTGTGGCCACAGCTGCATGGTGATATTACGGTAGTGCTGTTTTCTGTAGCGCTGTGCTCCAGTGCGAAAAGCTATGATGTTGACCATTGGCATGCTTGCAGACTCAAGTAAGGTGGTTACACAAAAGATCCTCCAAAACCTTTTGCCAAGCGATCTTCCTACAGAGACAGCAATCTTGCATGTAGAGGACAGCCTGTGCAACAAACTTCCACCCATGAATGTTGCCTTCGGTCATCTGTGCGCTGCCGATGTTTTGATTGCAGCGATGTTTTCGATTCCAGGGCTTCACTGACACTCACAAAAACCTTCTGCTGTGTGCGGAATCGACTGATGATGAAATCACTCATCAAGTTACGGAGTATTCCAATAACTCCAACACGATGATCGAAGAGGAAGTGCCTACGCAGCCAAGATGCTCGGAGTTGACGTAAGCACTGACACTGTCATCTGTGTACAGAAAAAGCACGACGATGGCTGAAATTGAGGCAGACATAATTGCGGGCAAGTGGAATGCACTGCAGACTATGTTTTTTTTTGCGCCTAAGTGTTTAGAAATGCGGTAGCGCTGGCCACATCGTTTTTTTATTATATGAGGTCCGTTAGAACAATACCCGACCATTGGTGAAAAAAAAAAAACTGGCATAATTGGGAGCAATCGAAACATGATTCCCCTGAGAGTAGTCTCCTTGGGTCTCCACACACTTCTGCCAGCATTGCTGCCATTGTTGGAAGCGTTCTGACAAAGCCTCTTTCGAAATGAAGTTTATCTCAGCTGTCGTAGCAGCCATAATGTCCTCCCTTGTCTGAAATGGCTCCTCTTTCAGTGCCCTCTTGAGTATGGGAAAGAGCCAAAAGTCCCAAGAAACCATAGTACGAAGCCTGCTGAACTACAGGAGTTTTTCGCCAAAAAAGTCTGAAACAAGTGTGAGGAAGCCATCTTGCTCTTCCGAATGGTTTCCACTTGGCTATCGCCCAGTTTCTGGCAAAATTTGATGCAAGGTGCCGCTCCAGTAGCTTTGTCATTTTTCTTGCAATGAAAAACAGATGGGAGCACTACACACTACCTCACTCAAATCCTGCATCCCAGCGACTGACACTATTGACAGGGGGGAAAAAATTCAAGATAGTGAAAAGGTTCAAGATCGGCAGATGCAAGCGTGCTCTTTTCAAGTCTATCAGGTGCTCGAAAAAAAAAATTAAGGTGGGTACTTTTTTAACTGACCTCATAAATGGCTTTTTTGAAAGCCACCTATAGAATGCATTTGCTGAATAGCAATGAGAATCACGTATTCCTGCCGTGACCCTCTCGGTCAGCACAAAATACCTATTAAAAAGTGTTTTCGCTTCAATTCGTGTGTTTTCGATTGAACTCGTTTTTCCGCATGCTTTCGCCATCCCTGGAGGGTCCAGGAATTACGACCATCTGGCGTTTTTTAGCATGTACTGACAGTGCACAGTACACAAGCACAGTACACAAGCTTTCAGCATTCAGTTGCATCAAAATGTGACCCTGGCATCCAACCTGGCCTTTGGGGCCGGTAGTTGAGCACTATAAACACAGCGTTGCTACAGCACATAATAGTGGCATCACTACAGTCTACTGTAACTAAAAGCAACAGAAGAGCACAGTACAAACGCTGCTTCTAAACACGGTACACTTTGCATTAGCAAAAGCAAATTATACACAGAGTGGTAACCTTGTAAGCATGGAGACGTGACTTGCCTTATTAAGCAGATCTCTGATCTTGTCAGCATCACGGGCATTGTAGATATGCCAAAGAGCACCTGGTTTGGCATTCTTTTCTCTCACCCTCTTTCGTGTAAGGGCATCACATGCGCCTTCATCAATTGCGTTCAGTGCAGCTGAAAAAAGTTGAAGGTATGTTTGTTAGTAATGTGGCCAATAACTACAATAAAACTCCGTTAATTCGGACTTCACATGACCGGAAAGAATGTCCGAATCAACCGAGAGTACGAATTATCGTGAGTACGAACAAAACACTTGAAAATGTCTCCTACACCATAAGACTTATTTCTTAAAAAAAGCCTGATCGAGGTTTTCTTCACGGATGCAATGTGCGACGAAGTCACAATTTTGTGAAGTTTCTGCAGGTGGCTTAGTCTGCGCACACTGTCCGAGCAAAGCATGCATATGTCCTCCAAAATGGCCAACGCATGCGCAGCCTCCGTCATAGTGGGGCATGGATGCTTGTCAGCACACTTACGTCCTCATCAGCTGATTCCCCTTCGCCGTCCGTCTTAAGACTCCGGCGACGATATCGCTGCCGGTCACTGTGCCGGCCACGGCAACATCGCTGTGGACTGAATAATTGCTGTTGACTGAGCAAAGCAATCGCCCAGGGTCACATCAGCTGGCATAATGCTGACATAGAGGCCGTCTTACTCTTCGACGGTTTCTTCAGCGGCCACCACCCCCGGATCAGCAGCGTCGTGCACCAAGCGGCTATGCCTAAAGCAGTTTGCGACTACTGCAGGCGGTGTGTTGTTCCACACATATGTCGGCATGTGGATTGTGCTTAGCAGGTTTACTTCGTACCGCTTGTATGACTCGATGCAGAGCAACACCCACTTGAGTACCTGCGTCGATAGCGGCTTTTCACGAAATAGACGATTCCCTGGTCCATCAGCTGCAGAGAAGCCGTGCTCGAAGGCAGGAATAACAGTTCAAGGTTCTCGAGCCCAGACCCCTTCGTGTGCGCACTACAGTTGTCTAGCACGAACACTTTCAGAGCCTTGGCCACAAAGCGGAAGTCGAGCTGACGCAGCCAGGTTTGAAAGAGTTCGGCAGTCATCCAAACCATTCTGTTGAACCGGTAGTCGACAGGCAGCTGCTTAATATTCTTCAAACATCTTGGCTTCGCAGCCTTCCCGATCACTAGCAGCGGCAGCTGCTCTGTGCCGGTCATCTTAGCAGCCAGAAGAACAGTCACGCGCTCTTTACTTCGTTTTCCACCGACGCATGGGTCCCCCTTCAACGCGATTGTCTTGTCAGGCAGAGCCTTATAAAACAACGCCGTTTCATTAGCGTTGAAAATGCTATACGGCTTGTACGTAGAAAGGCGTACGGATGGTCCAAAACGCCAGTGCCGCACAACACTTTCGTCAACTGCACCTCTTTCACCACACACAGTGCAGAACACTAGCCCGTGTCGCTTCTTGAAGCGGTCGAACCAGCCTTCAACGCATTGAAGGAGTCAATGTTCATGGTCACCACGAACTTCTCTGCTTGTGCACAGATAAAGGGGTCGCTCAAGGGCAATCAAGCGCTACAGCGCTTCTTGTAGCTTGGGATGCACTACCGTTCGAAGCCTCTACCTTTGGTCGCCAAACATGTCCCGATCATACGCTTGCATAATCTGTTTTTCGTTCTTCACTTAAGTGCTCAGCGTGCTTCTCTTCACATTGAACTTTCCCATCGCTTCTTTTCGAGATGCTCCCGCTTGCAACGCCTTCAATATTTTCACCTTTGCAGCCAAAATGTTTGCTGCGTACTTCGCTGCGGGATTTGGGGCGGTTGAGGCCGTAGGATACGGAGGAAAGCCATCCCGGCATAGCTCGCGTGGTGGTCACGCGCGCGCACTAAGTAAACACAAACACACACACAACAAAATACGCACGGTTATAAAAAAGAAATAAAAACCGGCAAACAGTAAAACTGCAGATGGCAATCACGTACCGATAAATATTTAGAGCACTCTAGAGGTGAGCAATTCAACTCAACCATCACGCAAACGTGTTTGACATGCAAGAAAAAAGGAAAGGCAAATCTGTAGGTTGCCGCTTGCTGATGGTAGGACAGTAGGACTGCATGCACTGCCTTCCATTTTAATTTTTTAAACCACCATGTGTGTTTTTTTTTGGGGGGGGGGGGGGGGCGGGGGGGGGGTGCTTGCAGGATGTACCACCCATGGACGAAGTGAAGTTTTGAATCTCGGAGGCTGCAATCCGATCCCAAAGTTGTTAAGGTGCACGGTCGATTAAGGCCGGCAGAATCCGCTGCTGCTTCCCCGTCGCGACTCGACCGCGGTCGGGCGTTCGAATTAAACGAAAAACGGCTGAATCAGTCCAAATTAATGAGAGGTTTCAGTCATCGAAAAATGTATATTTTGGATGGGACCAGACGCCGTGACGGAATCAACCGAAATCCCAAATTAACGGGGGTCAAATTAACGAGATTTCACTGTATAGCAGGCACTTAACAAAACTGGCAGAAGTACCATTGATGTGTTCTTCGTCCTTCCCATCCTTGGGAATTCCAACATAAACCATAACATTCACAGCATCGCTGACATCCAGATGTAGGTTGGTAGTGCCTTTATTGGGGTAAAGCGCAGAGCCTGCAAGCACAGAAACAATGCGAGTTAAAGCCACAGGGCAAAACAACTGAAAAGTTGCTAGTTCAATAGAGAAAGCAAAATAAAACAACCACGACAAGAACAATGTTTCACTCTACAGTTCTGTTTGCACACAGAAGTGTAGATGCGATTGTGTGCTTAAGGGGGCACATTTCTTCAGTGATCTTGATCAAACTGCACTGGATTATGCAGTTTGTTCTGCTGATTTCAAATATTTATTGGTTTTCCTGTCGCTCATCTTGTTCCTGAGGTAACTTAAGTTCACCCCATATTGGTTAAGGCAGCCATAGAAAGAAAGTGCTTAATTAGAAGTGATATTTAGGATATGCCAACATACACTAATGACTACAGATTGAAAGTATGCAAGAGTGTTTTTGGGGGGGGGGAGGGGCCTTTCTTGGTTATTTTACAGCAAAATGAACTATCCATTTTCAAAATCAGTCGGAATTGTGGTACAATTTTGATGAGTAATTCATTGAAAAGGCTTGCGCTCTAAATTCTGCTCCTATACTTGCATTCTACGCACATACAGGTTTCCATTGCATTGTTCTACCTGCCCTAGCTGCAGAGATATTGAGGCCTGGAAGTTGAACAGTCGTGAACTTACTTTTTTGAGAAAAATGGAAAAAACGAACACACAGCTTATTCGAAAAGTAACAATCGTGGTGCGCATGTTTTGCAATCCTCATAAATGTGCTCATAAATTAATTGCAGAGCTTCTAACATAGGTCCATGCAAACTATAAAGAAGCCTTGAAGTCGGTTTCTTATTTTTTTGCAGGTTCTGCATGTTAACAGCACTGAGAATCTGGACAATTAGAATGACATTACAAAAAAACTACCACTTCCTCGTGTCGTTTGGCAGAGATATAGAAAAATAGTTGCAGAAACCAAATATGTCATTTTTAAAAAATGAATTTTTTTATCACTTTTTGGTCCCAAAGACCAGTCTGCTCCCTTAAAAAGAGTACAGAGTAAATATTACTTTCAGTAACTTTGCAGTCTAATATAAAAATGTAGAATTAATGTGGAATTCGTAAAGTAGATTAAAACTTCGAGGATTTGAACTAGTATAGCTTCCTGGCACGAAATAATGCAAACTAACGGGCCAAGTACCAGTCCAACTACTTTGTTGTCTAGTCAATTCGTGCTGTTTTTTGCAATGAAGTATTAATCTCAGAGAAGCTTAAGACCTGATAGCCGCGGTAATGCAACAGTTATAAAAGAGTGTTCTTCTTGGCCGCCTGTCTAACAACCCATTTGCACATAGTGTTTAATGAGCATGGTGTTGGCTTGCACGGATACATCTCACTGGATGGCAGTGCAAACAAGTGATCAACAGTACAAAGTGATCAAATGAATTTCTTCAGGTTTTTTTTTTTTCTTATATCAGCTGTCGCATCAAATGGCTGAGATCAAGAAATTCCAGCAGAGACCATTTCAGGACAATACCGGTTCACTGGGCCTTTGGAAGCACTGCAGATCACTTGCAGGATAAGATACTTGCACCACCTTTTGCCAACTTTGCTACTGCCCGACCCCTCAAGACTGTACCAACTAGACTGTACCCCAACTAGACTGTACCAACTACCGTACAGTGCAGAATATAGTATTCTAAAAGAACTTGTTGTTGGGCTAGTTGGTAGAGCATTTCGAAAAGTTGATTCGAGCGCGAAAACTTGACACGATCACTCACACACGCACACACCCATGCATCAAACACACACAGAGCCCACAAGGCGCTGCGGGTGTTTGATGCATGGGTGTGTGCGTGTGTGAGTGATCGTGTCAAGTTTTTGCGCTCGAGTTAACTTTTTGAAATGCAGAATATAGGTTGAGATACCGGCCCTTGGCACAAACAGAGTGATAATCTGGCAACAGGTAGTGTCGCATGCAACAGGTAGTGTCGCATCCTTGGGCCGACACTTGATGCGTTCTCTGTGGACGCCACTTTTCTTTTCTTGTTCATTAAGTGTTCCTAGCGAGTGGCGACCTTCCTTTGGGGCCAGCTATGTATACCGAGATGCGGCGCGAGTTCACCGCTGCGTTTAAAAGAAAAGTTATTGAATTCGTGAAAGCGAATGGCAACATGGCGGCACAGCAACAATTTGGAGTGTCCGAGAAAAGCGTCAGGTAATGGCGCAACGAAAAATCCACACTGTCGGTATTTAACGAGCGGAAGACGTCGTTTTGCGGTCGCCAAGCTGTGCACCCCGAACTCGAGGACAAAGTGGCGGATTTCATCCAAAAGTATTCTGCCAGGTCCTTGCCAGTGAATGCGGAGCTCATTCGCACAAAAGCCGTTGAGCTCGCCCATGAAGCCGGTCTGTCGAGGAAAAACTTCAAGGGGTCCATTTATTGGGTTCGCCACTTTATGCGACCCAAAAGATTTGCTCTTCAATGGCACACGTCAACCTGCCAAAAGCTGCCCGAGATGTACGAGGACAAGGTGACTCAACTCTACGTGAACAGCCTCCGGCTACAGCATGGCTACATGTTAGGCCAGATCGGGAACGCAGACGAAACACCAGTGTGGTTCAACATGCCGTCGTCCACGGCAGTCTGAACACGAGGCAAAAGAGGTGAAGCTTTTGTCGATCGGAAGCGAGCATTTACGCTTCACTTTTATGCTTTCCTGCACAGCCGACAATAGCAAATTGCCCCCTTTCATCATCTTTAAGGGGAAGACGATGCTGAAGGCCTTCCCGCGGGATGTCGTCGTCCGCTGAACGGAAAGGAGTACATGAACGAGGCCATAATTTGCGAGTAGATCCACACAGTGTGGAACCGGCGACCCGCAACCTTTCTGCAGCACCGGGACAGACACATGTTATATGCATTTCACGGGCACTTGACGGCATTGGTAAAAAAGATACTTTGCGAAGGGAAGACCGCTTGTAGTCATTCCAGGAAGGCTGACGACAGCACTGCAACCGCTGAACGTCATCCTTGACAAGCCTTTTAAGGACCGTGTGCATGTGTTGTACACTGAATGGAAGGCTGGCGACAACCAGCGGACCCTGACCGGCCGGCCGCGCAGGACGCCTCTCGCGACAGTTTATGGTTGGGTCCTTGAGGCATGGAGGACTCTGCCTGAAGAAATGGTGGTGTGCGCATTCAATAAGTGCTGCATCAGCAACGCTCTAGACGGCACCGAGGACGACATGTTATGGGAGGCGGCTAGTGAAAGGTAGTCATCCTCGGAGGAGAGCTCCGACAGCTCGAGGCACTGAATAAAGTCAATCATTGCACAATTCCACGTTTTTCTTTTTTCACTGGTGAAGGTAAGGGAGGCGATTTATATTCCGCCTCGACCAGTATTCCACATTAAGAGGTAAAACAGCAGCTCCACGCTTCACTTGCGACCATCACCCATCCGCTCTCTCCTGCTCAGCACAGTTATCAGTACGTACTGTTCTTATGCTTGAGACCACTAACAGACCTCGAACAGACTGCGACGGCAACATTGTCAACAAGCTTTTGCTCGGAGCATCCCTGCGTCAGTAATACGTTACAGCTGGAAGCAAGGTGAGACTAGTCACAAACAGCCAAATTTCACAAGAAATAATTTGAGTTACTGTTGCAATGCCTGGATCAATCTGATTCACATATTACTGCACTGAAATAAACCAAGAAATTGCTTTTTCTGTTCCTCCTTTGTGATGATTACTTACTTGTTAGCTATGTATCACCTAGATAGTGTGGCTGCAGGGTTCTTGCTATGATGGCTATGCCTTACTTCAAGATACTGTGCATCTAATGCCACGATTGGAGAAACTGTACAGGACACTCAGGGTTTGTGCCAGCTAGCAGTGCAAACGCTGCGAGGTTGTGACGGTCTTATTAAGAAAAGGTGCGCATCTGGCGTTACTGACTATTTCAGGCATTTGAACATTCTTTGCATGCTGCAGTTCTATAAGCAGCGGTGGCATGCACAGAGGAAGTGTTCCTACCTGTTACTTCTTTGTTAGAAAGCTGCACTCACAAGGCACACAAGTGTTCACCATGGGTGAAAATATATAGGTACCAAGCTTGTGCAGATAGACCCAACTGCTATTTCCAAATTATGGTATAGTGAGGACCGTTTTGTGTTTACAATGTGCTAAGTCTTATGTTAAACCCCTTCCTCAGAGGCTTCACACATACACACACCACGATGACAGAACAAAGATGTAAAAAAAAAGAATGAACGTACCATAGGCATTGTACATCTTAGGCCCAAGGTCCGGCCTAACAAAACATTCCGGCAGCCGCCCAGCCAAGTTGAAAACTCCATCTCGGTGAGTGTACTCTGGTAGTGGCAACACCTTCATGAGATCATTGAACCTGCTGGGCAGCATGTCGCTGAAGTCGTCACCAGGTGGCCAGTCCTTCAGCTTCAGCAGCATAAATTCTCCATCTTCATCTTTCATGCGCTTGCCAAAGTTCTCAAAGCCTTCCCAAAACTTCCGCATTGGCTGGTTTGGAAGGATGCTGCCATTTCGGCAATTCACCAGGTCATTTCGCACTTCACCAAAATCTCGGCAAAAACCGTCGGGGTGCCACAATGACATATTCAAGTTCTTGCAAACATCAGTGACCAGCACAGGCTGCAAAAGAAGCAGAAAACAATTTGATTTACCATTATTACCTTATTCCAAATATTACCTTCATGCACTGCAATACTGCAAAACATTGCATTTTATCTTATACTACATAATGACCATTACAAAGCTTCAATAGAAAGCAAAAATGAGAAAAAATTTTGAATTTATGATGCCCAACACTTACAGAACCCCTGCTATATCTAACACTACTTTGTTCAGATATTGTGCAAGCAGCTTCTTGAACAAAACTGATAAAGATAGCTGCCAACCACTCTACACAACTGCAAAAAGCCAATGAAACCTTTTGATGATAATATGTGGGGTTCAACGCCCTAAAATCATCATGTGACTATAAGAGACGCCGTAGTGGAGGGCTCCGGAAATTTCGACCACCTGGTGTTCTTTAACGTGCACCGACATTTGAGCACACAGGCCTACAGCGTTTCTGCCTCCATCGGAAATGTAGCCGCCGCAGACGGGATTCGATCCCGCGACCTGCGGGTCAGAGTACCTTAGCCACTAGACCACCGCAACGGGGCCCAATGAAACCCCTTACTACGGTGTCATGTTTGCACAAGCATGCTCATTCATTTTAGTGTTCCATAGAAGCAAGGCCTACAGCGACTTCTTTGGTTCTTCTAGCATATGGCAAGATTACCTTGAAATAACACCAGCCCTACTATTGATGAATCAAAGAGCAGCATTGATCGAGGCAAGCAAAGCAAGAAATTCAGCAATTATGACTGGCAGATGCACTGTCCATACTTTCATCGCATTAACAAACCCTTTTTCTTTCTTTAAGTGAACCTCTTCATAGAAACGTGCACGGGGGAGCAATTCTTGACTTATTTGAAGAGTCTCTCATAAGAAGAGTACTACGTACACATTTTCTTTCAATCTCACTTTTAATGTGAACAACACTAGTGGCTCTTGGATATGCGTTATACCTGCAAACTAATCCATCTCGACGGCCCACCTAATTGTGCGCCTCCTCCTCACCCACTTGCCTCCTCTTAGAATCCAGTCAGTTACCTTTATTAACAAGCGCTCATTATGCCTACCCACAGTGTTTTTTATGTCCAGTCTCGTAAATGGGTAATTTACATCTATAAAATAAAACACTGTTTGAGAAAACTCGCACTGATGTGCACGAAGCAGAACTCCGAAAGCTCACGTGCGTCCACTAGTCAAACCAACGTCGCTTTCAAGAAACGAGGTGGACAAAACTACAGCAGATACAACCATAACAAAAAATGACCGTTTCGAAACGCGCGCTCTGGCGGCGGACGTAGATTCAAAACGAAACTACTATTTTCCAAAATCACTGGGCGCGAAACCGCGCTCAATGCATTGCCATCATCAATAGAGATTATTAGCGGAGGGCATGGGGCTAACACAGCAGTAAATTAATGGCAATAAAGACGTAAAAAAGGCCAGAAGCTTTTTGGAGTTTCTGTCCGAGGATCTAGTAATGTTGCTGTGGATCTGGGTACTATGGCAATACTTTGGCTTTCAGTTTCCAGTTGGCCTCAAGCGAAGCTTCCACCAGCACTTTCTTGGCAGCAGCTGCGCCGTCCTGTCCGTTCCATATGTCCCATGAGACTTGCGCGAGTTCTTTTGACAAATAGATTTTGCTAGTTGTATAGACGACGCAAAATTTCATGATACAAGTATTTGCGCAACCTCTCGAGTCTCGAATCTTGTATTGTAGTTGGGAAACCTTACCATCGTGTGTTTGGCCATAGACAGCTCCCAAAATAAAATGTTTGAAAGACGAAAAATTCTATAACCATCAAGAGTTATTATAGCACGTTAATATTAAAGGGTATTATAAGGACTTTAAAAATCCATACAAACTAAGTTAAACACTGCTCCTGGTGCCTTGTACACTGCGAAACACTGCAAAGGAAGAGTATGCATATGACACTTTTTATGCATGAAGACACTACCAAGTACTACCGCATAACAGTAGCTGCATGGCTATTGGGCACTCTGCAGTTCAATAGAGAAAAGAAAATTCCGGTCTTTTTACGTTATGGCAACTTCCTGATCAAGATAAAAAAAGAAACACCCCAAACTGCAAATAACAAAAGCACCACTATAGTTTTACATAGATTAAAGGTACAATCAAAGGCACTCTATCGCCTTTTAATTTTGTACGAGGAATACCGCAGCGCCTCTGGAAAGCTGTGGAATCGGAGCAGTTTTCCAGAAAATGTATAACCATGCCCGTGCCGGGGTGAATGGAAGGGTTGGCAGGTATGCAGTAATCTTCAGAAAGCATGCTGAATAATACGCTCAATGTAGAAAATGCACCACGTGCACTAACCTGGCCGCGCTTCCACTGCTCTTGGAATAATGTCAAGTTGTGCTTGTTTCTTGGATCATGGAGTACAAGCAACTTTCCATCGCAGAGCCATGAATGGGGAACCTTGGGGTAAAGCAATGACGTCTCGGCTAGGCTGCAGACACGTACAGGCAAGACTTCACGGCCTTTTTGTGCACTGGGGAAGCGTCGGCAGAAATGCACCAGCTGCTGTTCATCTTTCTTCCCCACCGTATGCTCCACTGTTGTTGCTACTACTTCATCCAACTGGCTCTTCTTAGCACTACCACCAGTAGGGCGGATGAGTAGTTCACGCAGTGTGGAAAAGTCTTCACCCTTCTCGTCATCACCACCTTCACTCGCCTGCTGCTGATCACTTTTGTCATCAATTTTGCTAGAGGAGTGCAGTGCTACATCTGCCAAGACCGACAGTGGAGAGCCTCCGCTATCCGAGCTATAGCTGCCACCTACTTCATCAGAGGACGTGTTGGCGACGCCATTCACAGGTTGCTTTTTGCGCTTTCCAGCACGTCCTGTTTCACCGTTGACTGCAGTGCCCTCCTTGTCGGAGAAGCTCTTGTTGACGGCACTCATGAGTTGCTGCAAAAACACAAAGAGATCAAGGAGCTACATACTAATATTAACCAACATCTTCACATCACCTTTACAGGAGCTAAATATTAATACTAACCAACAGCTTTACATCATCACTCTCAAAAATACTAGAAATAAAAGAAGAAAATACAACGAAAATTGGCTCTGGATGTCTACTGCGATGCAGGGTGACCACTGCTTTAAGAAGAGACCGATCTTAAAAATGAAGATTTTTTTTACATAAGACTAATGAAATTATGTGTGTATATGTGTTTATTCCTCCTGTATTCAAAAATTTAATTGGTTTCATTGTTTCTCAGTTTCAGATACAGCTGCAGCTAAGAATTTGCCATGTGCAGCTATGCTGTTTATATTGTTAAGAAACATCATATAAAAATTTTGAGCTGTGTTGGTGCTGAGTAATTCTAAAATGCAATTCGCTCTGAGTAATTCTAAAAGGCAATTCGCTCAATTATTGTTCACAAATTTTGATAGGTTTTGCTTAGCCCTAAATATATAGCATAGCTTCAGTTCGATTCCTTAAGACAGTGGTTCTCAGCCATAGATGTGTCGGGGGTCCCTTGTGGACTGGTGGAAGTGATGGGGGACCCCTTGCAGCCGGGAGGGGGGGGGGGGGGGTACGTAGGTAAATTTACACAACTAGAGCGTGAGCCTTGCAGCCAGGAGGGGGGGGGGGGGGGGGGGGGTACGTAGGTAAATTTACACAACTAGAGCGCGAGACAGGTGCCTTTCATTGCTACCAAAAATATCAAACAAACGTGCCACATCGCTTCTTTTGGGGCAGTTAATCAGTATGTGGCACAGTCGCGCCTAAACAGAGTGGCATACCTGAAGGCACATTCAACCTGTTTCGATATTACCTTTGAGTCACAACCGGACCAAACTCCAAGCAATGTAAAAAAAAAGTGGTTGAGGGTTTTGCTGATCATAGAAGTGGCTTGTGCGTGGACACCCATTTGAGAACGACTGCCTTAAGAGTTCAATGGTAAAATATTTAAAATTGCCTTACAAAAACATGTTGACTAGCCGTAAGGTTAGTCAGGTTGGAAAAAATTGGGAATCTGAAAAAATCCCATTAAATGTTTTACCTGCAGAAACTTCTGCAGAAACTTCTAAACACTACCTGCAGAAACTTCTAAATCTGCTAAACAGAACAAAAAGTGTCTTATTTCATCCAAGAAATCCTTTCTAGAAAATTTCCTATGTAGCAGGCATGATCCGAGCTCCACTATGGCAAGCAATTGTGGGGTGCTGATAAGACCATAGGGTGCAAGGCTCAAGCGACTCACTCTTAATTAATGTCTTTTCAGTTTTTGCAAAGAACCATTTGGGTTTTCGGCAGCATGCTGACTGCCTTGAGTAAAATTATGAGGTCTGCATCGCTTACTTCAGCCATTTGCAGATGTAGCGTCCAGAGACAGTGCAGGGAACTGCACATATTTTGAGTCGCTGACGAGCGAGTTTTGCAGAGGCACACTGTTGCTTGGCTGCAAACTACGGCGAAACATAGTGGCCCCACCTTCAGCTTTTACTCAATTGACTTTGTAAGGAGAGTAAGAGATGCACTCTACGTTCTGCTGCTCACACGATCATTGGTCTGCGCACTCAACAGTACGTGTTTGAGTGTAAATAGCAACCATACGCAGGTCTGACCGAAGCGGATCGCTAATGCTCAGCTAAAGGTGCCTAATAAACACAGACTCGAAACACTAGCCCTGCCGGTGCACTTGTAACTGCATCTTTCTTACACCAAGACTGTTTCCCACAGCTTAGAAAAGCTCATCGCGAGCCCGGTTCCAGGCAAGAGTCTCTGGGCATCACGATCGGCTAGAGGAATTACCAACGCTAAGCAGCAAGACTGTGTCCAGAAACACGCACAAGCATGAAAGCACAGCAATGCTGCGCTATCGACAGTCACAGCGGCAAACCTTCAGAAAACTAGTGCCGGCTGCCATTCTCCTTGAGCGATGCCCTTTTGAGATGGTGCCAGTTAAACACAAAGGAAACTGCTTCGAAGCTCACTTTGAGGTGGCGGCGCTCGGTTCTCTGCAATGCTTATGGTGTGCGCAAAGACTGAACGAACTTCGTTTTTTTCGGGGCATTTTACTGCTGCCTTGGTGCCTTGAAACCCATTTCCCAACCAAGTTTAGCATCAATAATTTGAGAGTAGGTGCTCAGAAGTGCAATCACCCCAAAAAATTGCCATTGTTGATTGCTCCAAGACCCGTCTCACCCCTTAAACAACAGTACATGCACCCAAACAAGCACCTTTGAGCAAGGATTTAGCTCGTAACCATGCAATGAACTGCCCGCATTCATGGCCACCAAGGCATAACCAAGATGCGACACAAACTTGCAAAAAGAGAGGGCAGTATTCCAACCCTAGAGCAAGATTTTATAAGACATATATTTTAATCGTAATTATTGTTATAACTTACCTTGCACAGCCCATTAGAGGAGTTTTTTCTGCAGTCACCATCACTGTTGCACAGGCCACAGCCGCAGTAGCTCGGAATGTTCCACTCATGGCGTGTCCGGTGCAGGTCCTGGCTGACGTCCCAAAGAGCCGTGCTAGCTATTATCTGTGTCATCATCAGTTTATCCTGCTCGTGTGGCTGTCGGTTGGCACACAGGAGCCACTGGAACTCATCTCTGTCTTTCGGGGGTGTGTCCTCAGCTGAAAAGGCAAAACAGTATAAGTAATAGACCATGGAACCATGTTACAAATCACCAACCTTTCACTGTGCCATTCTTCTTTGCCTTGTAGCAGTCTATACACACCACAAAGCCGCACTTGTGACACACCCAGTGAATGTTGAAGAGAGTTGTCTCACAGACATCACACATTTCACGCACACCTTGCACAACGCGCTTCCACGATATGGTCTTATCTTCGCCCATGTGTAGAGACTGCGCTTCCCTCTCTTGCTCCACGAGATCACAAAACTGGTCGCCGACATGGGACAGTATGATTTTTGCGGTGTTAACATCCAAGTCTTTAGGTGTATGATCCAATGGAGGCAGCCACAGCTTTAAATCTTCTTCTGAAGCATCACTTGGTTCCGAGAAGCCACCACTGAGCACAGTGCCATTCTTGCCAAAGCGTAGCCTGGAAGTAAAAGGGTGCCAAATGAGCAACGTGAAAATTCATCTATTGTTTCAACAACACTTTGATGTCACTGCAACTTACTTTCTGAATGCGTAGAAGCGACAGAAAATGTTTGGCATTTTCTTGTTCCTCTGGTTTGGCGTCATCCTACACTCTCTACACTTGGGGAGCTTTGGAGCAACATCATAACACGACGCATCCTGCAGAAATGGCTTGCCAGACTTCTTCAGTTGGGCAATGGTTGGCTTCTCTGCTGACCGTGCTAATAAAAAGAAAAAGGAAACCGCAGATAAACATAAAACATTATCAAACAGAGTAATTAGAGCTCCGTTTGATATGCATGGATGAGTGCGAACAACATTTAAGACCACTTGCACATGCGAAGCAAAGCTCATGTGCATCATACACAGCTTTAGTAGGAGGCTGTTGCTCCATTTACTCAGTGCTTGCATCACCCCAGTAGCTGTGTAAAATTGATATGCACTTGTTCTTCCTTTTAAAGGGCCCCCAGGCTACTCCTTTGACAAACCCATGAAGTTCAGAATGTCAGCATAATCCCCAAAGCCAAACATGGCAGTGCTATGCCCAGTGGATATGCCAATATTTTAAAAAACGAGCCTATGTGTCTCTCCAGGCTTTTACAATATCTCCCATGCTCGTCTTGACGTCACCAGGGGCAGATTCTGTAGAGTGGTTGAACCAATCTGTCTGTCTCTGCTAGCAGGTGCATTGTCAGGTGGTGGAGAGAAAATCTTGGCAAAGGCCGCGTTAATGTGTGCTACGCACCATTTCAAAAAATTCTTGCACCTATGTGTTTGTCTAAGACTGGAGGACTGCTACAACGACACAACGACCGTATTTACACGCCTAATGAATGCACTAAGATAAATGCACCCCCCCCCCCCCCCAACTTCAGTCATCGCAATTTGGATTTTTTTTTTTTCCTGCGTAATAAACACACCCCCTACATTCATCCACTGCAGTCCCACTGACCGCAGATATGGCACGTCCTTGCCCGCTGGATCTCTCCCGTTTTTTTATTATGCATACCCCTCCCTTCCTCTCTACCTTCACCTGCTGCCGTGCACCATTTCTTTTTTTTTTTTTTTAATCTGTGCGCCACATGTCCCCAGTCTTCAAGTAGTGAGGTTTAGAATAACGTTCGCAGGCATTGCGGGCACCACTCAAGTTTTAGAATAGTGTTTGCCCTTTCTTTTCTACTTATCTCCTCCTCTCCCTTCACATCGCAGTTTGCTTGATTAACTTCAAGTCCTTGTGCCAAAAAGACCCCCCCCCCCCCCCCATTTTGCTTTCTCTTGTTTGCCTAAATGCCCCGATCAAGGCTATAATGTACGTAGCACAGAATCCTTGTCATTGTCGGTCGCTGCGAGAGTTACACCTTGACAGAAGAAGTCTTACTCAATTCGTCTTAAGCAGATTTTTTTGCATAGAGTTTGTGGGAAATCAAACAAACACTGCAGTGTTGTTTGTCTTAAGCAAGAATTTATTTTAACAGAGTTTCTTTTAATGGGAGTTAACTGTACTTCAAACACAAAAAGTAAAATATAATATATCAGTAGATGTGTGAGAGAACGCGGTTTGCTTTTACTTAAAAATCACTGAATACTGGTTAGCGGATTTAAAGAATAGAATACATATTCCTCCAAACAGGGTTCAACAAGTCTTACCATGCTTTTTTCGAGGCACTGTAGCCAATTCATCTGCCATATCATGCTTCATGCTCTTGGGTCTCCTGCCTCGTCTTCGAGAAATAATTTCTTGTTTTTCTTCCTTTTTCGAAGATAATTCTTCAGGAGCTCCATCACTGTTACTTTCACTGTTACCTCGCTGCCGCTTGCTACCAGACTTATCCCTGTTAACTCCTCGCTTTCTGGCCATCCTTGTCTTGCGACTCGCTGCTGGTTTTTCAGCCTCTGATGCAGAGCTGGAACTGCAGTCATCTCTGATGGAGCAACTTGCTTCTGTGTCATGGCCATTAATGGTCATCTTGATCGATACTGGTTCTTGCTTGGCAGGTGAGGCACAAGCACTGCTGCTGTCCAAACGTACCTCTCCATCATGAGGTTTTTTATCTTCGATTTCAGAGTGCCGTTGCAACCAAGCCTTTTTCAGCTTTGTGTGGTTGCTACTGCTGTTGCTGATTGTCGTGCAAGTACTAGGTGCAGGACTTGGAGTAACTCGTGTATCAGAATCGGACTCGTGCACAATAGATGACCCACCACCTACACTTCCAGGCTTGCTATCCTCTCCAGAGGCTGGAGAAGGGGCGTTGGGAGGCCTCACCTTTGTTCTGCCCTTTTTGTAGAATGTCTGATAGCTGTCCTGACTGGTAACAGATTGCTGTTGTAAGGAAGGCTGAGACGTTGGTGGCTGCTGAGAAGATGACGAGGGCAAAGGTGACTGCTGCTGCTGCTGCTGCTGCTGCTGCTGCTGCTGCTGCTGCTGCTGCTGCTGCTGCTGTGGTGTCTGTGGCTGCGGCAACTGCAGCAGCTGCTGCTTTGGCTCATGAACAGGCGGCACTTGCTGCTGTGTTGGTGTCACAACAGCAAAAGGCCGAAAGGTATCTTGCTGGGAGGAAGAAATGGGTGCTGCTGCAGTTAGCTGCACAGATGTTGTCGCAGCTAATGAGACCAAAGAAGAAGCCGCTTCTGGAGCCATAGCACCTGCTGGTGGAGTAGCCACTGGTGCCGGCACTGAGCAGTGAACAGGTGATGGACTCTCCTCAAGGCGTGGCAATTTGGCTGGCTGGTCAGGCTCACGTACAGCTTTGCGCTTGCCTGGAGACAGGGCACCTTGCTGAAGGTTCAATGGCTGAGGTAATGGTGGGGTGAGTCTAGGAGGGGTGGAACAGGCTTGTGGCAGATGCATGGAAGGCGATCGTGACTGAGGGAGTGGACGTCCATGCATGGAGCCATAAGACAGCTTGGGCTCTTGATGCTGACCAGGCCGGCAGACTGGAGTGCCTGTGGTTATTCCTGGCACTGAACGCAGATACTGTGCCGAACTTAGTGGTGAGGACTGGCCAGCGGGGGAAGACTGCAAGACACCAGGTGGGTGCAACTTGGAACCTTGTGTAGTTGGAGTAGCTGGCGTGTAGATGGGGTTAGGTACAAGACCTTGCTGGATCAAGTTGTATGAATACGGCTGCGATGCCTTGGCTGATTGGCTGCTGTTACTACTGGTGCTGCTGTAGCTGCCTGGACCGGGGGATGGTGTGCTAAGGGGAGAGTCTTGACGAGACCGTGAACACTTGACAAGGTTCTGAGCTTCCTCCTGAGGAAAATTTGTAGGGCACCTTGAAAGGGAGCCTTGATGGGCTGGTGCTGGATGGGCTGGTGCTGGGCCGGCTGAGTTGTACTCATATGGCCGAAAAGTTCCTGGGGTCGACATCGCTGGGCTAACATGATCTTTACCTGGAGGTTTTGGACTTCCTCTATGCCCTCCAGGAACTGTTGAACGGTCAAAGCGAAGGTCTTTTTCTAATCGTGGCAAGTGAGAAGGTGACGAAACGAGTGGCTGGCGATTCACGATGGGTTGACTGGAAAAAGAAAATGTGCGACTATTGACTCTCCAGCAATCACGCATAATCGATTTCCTTCTGAAACATTTATCAATACTTGCCTATGGTGCGACTTGGGTTCCTCTCTGGCTTTGAGCTGAGCTTGAGTTATGTACATCTGCGGAAATGGCTGGTAACCGTAGAGGTTGAAACTAGGCTCCCCTTTCGAGGGGGCCACTGCTGTGACTGATGAAGTTGATGGAACAACAGAACTGCCCACCTTCTGTGACAGGGTAGATCCAGGAATATTTTGATTTGTCTTTGGCGATGGTCGGCTAGGTATCTCCAGCTTTGACTTCAGCTGTCAAAAAAGCAAAAAAATATTAGCTTTTACCATCTTTGGAAACTGGCTAGAAAATCATCCATACTTCATTATGAGAGATCCGATGATGCGAAGCCGGGCTCTGGATTTCCAACCTCTGTTGCTGTTGCTGCTGCTGTTGGATGTTCAACCATCGTTCCTGATCAGCCTGTCGCATGCGGGCCTCCAGGGAATACCTGATGAAAACACCGTACATATTGAAATGGGCCAATACAACTTGAAAATAGTTTTTGTAAAATATATAAAGAGCTGTAGACAAATAGATTGAATAAAGGATTACTTTTCATGATGCTCCATCTCTTGCTTGTCACGCTGTTTGTCAGGCTGTGCAATTACAGAGCTGCTAGACGTGCTCACAGCAGCTTTTGAGTAGGGTAAACGGGTGACAAGGCTCCAGCCTGATCTCTGTTGGCCATAAAGAGGCAAGAAGAAGTAAGCCAGTATTTCAGACTATGATGGCAATAAATATTTCATGGTTCAATGCTACCAAAGAAAATCTCATGTCGTGATCTACACCACTGCACTGCAAGTCAAATGTATCCGTCAGTGGGACAAGAGAGAACATATGTAATGCCACGTACGATGAAACCTGCCTTGGGAGTATCTAGATGATTTTGATGCTGATTTTGAGCCACAGACATCATTCTGCCATATGTCTGGAAGGCATAAAACAGCGACACTAAGTCACCAAACCAAAACAAATGATATTGAAATACTTGATTTACTTTGCATATCTAATTCAATAGTCTTCGATAGCAGCAAAATGAATTTGCTGAGAGTATTAGGAACACAGGTAAACAACAATTTTTCAAGAGATGTGTGAATTGGCTGCATAAATCAAGAAGTGGAGCTATTACTGAAACACCATCAAGGGTCCATCTGCACACATCAAACAATATTATCACTCACCTTCTGACTAGCCAAACGCAGAGACTCCTCAAAGTGCTGCTGCACAGCTTCACGCTGCACACGCTCCTGCTCCTCCTTTTTATGCCGCTCCTGCCTTTCTTTCTCTGCTTTCTCTCGCTCGAGCATTTCAGACTTCTCGCGTTCCCGTTTTTCCTCTTCTTCTCTGCGGTCCCTAGAGATGAAAGTTGAGTTCATATTGTAAAAAACTGTACCTTGAAACTGCTGTTGCATCCAGCCCCGTAAGATGTTGGCCCAAATTTCCCAGACTTGTCTGATGTAGCAGTATGTTTTCACATTTCTCCCTGCAGTTTCTAACACACAGTTTGTTGAAAAATTCATGTCGAAGTGCAAAGCTGGCATGTTTCTACTGGTCATGCCATCTGTCAGATCTTTCCAGAAGCTTGTATCGTCAACCCGCATTGTGTTGGTGCGCATATTGAAAAACACAGTGACTGCGTCCACCACTGCCCACCCTCCTTTGCCGAGTAAGTTGAAGGGGGAATGTGGTTGCTTAACACGCGCTACTCTTTGGCTGAGCGGCCATACGTTGCAGGGTTAGGAGGGACGTAGATCCTACAATTAAAAAAACGAGAAAAAAATATTTTGAGAAAAAAACACTTTAGGCACAGTTTTACCGTCAAGCAGCTGCCCTTGAACTTGGCCTGGGGCATAGCGTTTGCGTATGGCCGCCATACGAGTTTTTGAATAGCCTTTGTTCGCTTGCTATTTCGGATTTCTTGAGAGTGGACCGCAAACACCAACTGTCGCTGGAGTTTTCGGTCCACCCGCAATAAATCCGAACTAGCGTGTAGCCGCCGCAACGCCCGCGAAACAGAGGTTAGTGTGACGAGCGCCATGGCAATATATAGCCGCCACAACGCCAGCAAAACAGAGGGTAGCGTGACGAGCGCCATAACAATAACTGATGTTAGCATTTGCGGTTCACTCGCAACGAATCCAAAATAGCGTGCAGCCCCCAAGGCCTGCAAAGCCCGTTAGCATTGAACGAGCAAGCTGCAAGCGCTCGTTTACGCTGTTCGAAAACTCGTATAGCGTCCATACGCAAACGCTATGTCCACAACATGACTCCGCATGGGTCATTATTCGAAAACTCATAAGTCACTCATACACAAAAGCTCCAGCCGCAACCCCCGCTATCTTAGCGTACGCTATTCGATAACTTTTTCTAATAGCCACAGGAGATGCAAAACACATCGCGAGAGTAATTTTGTTCCAACTTGGTGTACAAACAACTCATAGCCACAGCATCATGCTGGCCAGCGGCAACCCAAACCACGTCCCAAGCATTTTTGATTACTTTCGCGTTAGAACGTCAAAAAATGGGGTGCGCAAATGCTTCTACGCATATTTTGAGGTGTTTCAAAATGTCCTCACTACGATAAGATGCCTGCTATCGTCACTTTACCGAGGTGCAATTTCTAAACGCTCGTCAGCCAGAGCGCACACACGCAAGAAGTGAGCCCCTTTCTGTCGAGCTTCTCATTGGCTGGCACAACCCAAGACGAAAAAGAAAAGCCACAAGATGAAATAATTTGACAGGAGCCGTAAATTGAATAAAGGGGTGTACTCTGAAATGAAATAACTGGTCGATATTCTGGAAAAAAAATTTGTGCTCACTGTCTTGGCAGGAACGAAGACCACGACTGGTACAAATAACGATCAACTGAGAAAAGAAGAAATGAGAGGTGAGTTGCATGGATCGTCCCCGATAGTTTAGACAATCTGGATGCCCAATTGGTCATCTGTTTCTGAGTAGCATTTGTTCGCCCTGTATTTTGGATTTCTCGTTGCGGCTGTTTTGCCAGTGTCGTGCGCTCGTGTGTTGTTACAAGGGTCATTTTCCTCGGCTTTCGCTAAGGCCGGCGCACATTTTTGTGCTAGCATACCTGTCACGCGCAAACAACTTGGTTCCCCTTGGCCAAACTGTAGCTACCAGATCGTCGGACAGTGTGCCATTTGAAACATTAATGGTATGGCATACAATACGAGACTGGCAAGTTCGCGATAAATGCAGTGGTGGAAGGAGTGCTAGGCATCACAATGGGTAGTGAAGCAGTGCAAGCTCAATCTGTTGGTTGTTGGTGAATGGCGGCAAGAAAAATGGCACAAAATTTGTCCTTGTGGACTTAACTGTGATAACGCCCTGTTTGGGTTTCTGCCTTGTTCCGAGTTTGGCTCAAATAATCCCTTTCAAGGCAGAGGGCATGGGCTGCATTCGAAGCCTGTGACTTGTGCAAGAGGAGCTTCTAAGTGTACATAGCTGGAGATAAAAACTCGGAAATAATACCTTATGAAGTGAAGTGCATTCAATTAGGTGCGACTGTTGTCGACAAGAGTACGATGGCAGTTGCTTCAACCACCGCCCCATAGCAACACCTGAATGGCCAAGACACTTTGTTACTTTATAGGAAATCGATTTGTGTGCCACAGCCTTGAGGAAGATAATATATGACGGGATTTCGCAAAAAGAGCACTTGTACAGTTGGAAGGAGTGCCACAAAGTACAGGCTCTGCCTGACACAAATTAGCAGGTAACTTCTTGCACAGCCCGTCCCTCTTTGTAGACACTAATGCCCAATTTTTAGTGTAATAAATAAGCTATGTGTCTCTTGGACTTAATCTCTGCATATGTTTTATCTGCCCCTAGGAAGACATTTGTAGACAAATTTTTGTATTTATTTTGCTTGCAGCAAATTGATACTGGCCAGTGAAATGGTAAAGGCAGTGTTTATCACTCTGGTTCTGGGTGCACTACAAAGTTTATAAAAAGATTTTGTCAATACATAGGCAAGTAATGGACACATATTTGGTATAGCTATTCTCATGAATAACAAACTTATCAAATTATATTACTTGTAGTGCTGTGGCTGTTCTTCCACAGAAGTTTTCGCCATCTGAAACTTTAAATGCATTTTTCTCAATTTGATGTTTTTGTTCAGCACACTCAGACAAAGGAAGGTTTTCCCCATGTTGTTGTGAGTGACGATTAGTGGTGTTTTGTGGCGTAAGGACCATGACTGGCTAAAAAGCACCATGTCATATAGAGGCCTAAAATCATTTGCTATGAACAAGCGTAAAAGCTGTGTATAGATTATAAAATTGTGGCAGTGACAGGAGAAGTAATTTATTGGTGTTTAATGAAGTACAAGGAACCAAGATGAGATAGAAAAATGCACGAATGCCACTTTGAGGCCAAAGGCAGGGATGCAAGGTGTTGTTCCGTAGACATTCATGTAGCCAATTTCTTTTTAATTTTGGCTCATTCCAATGTCACGGGTCTGTCCAAGAGCAGGGTTTGCGGTGGTGTCCTACAGTGTCTCACCAGCTTTGCTGTGCCCGCATTATCTTCCTTCCTATGAGGGGCTGTTTCTCGTTTAGGGGACCGTCAACGGCACATCTGCGGCGCCGAATGGTATGCGGGGTGAACTGTACAGTTGAAGCCTAACAGACTTCGCGGTAGTTTCCTGTGAGTGTTTAGTTTAAGTCATTATTCTTTAGGTTGACAATGGTCCTCAAGTTCAAACTCGGTGGAGACCACCCACCATTGGATGTACCTGTTTGAATTCGTGACACCCCATTGGGGGTCTTCAACGGAAACTTCCGAGTGGTCCTTTTTGTTTGGTCTCTGCGCTGGCTCTCGGGATGTTTCCAGGGGAGCCAAGAGGGGTCGCACGGTGGACGCACAAAAGCAGGTTGCAGCAAGTGCCACGCATAGTTGTGCCAGTTATGTAGTTTACAAGTGTGTACAACGTCAATTAGGAGCACTTTAGCCAAATAAACCAGTTTGGGAGAAAGTCTATTGAACTGCTGTGTCTACGCGTCCTCTCTTCGACGGCGACCAAGTAGTCACCAGAACACTACGCTACACTATGAAGTCTGCAGCAACAACCTCCTTTCAGAGGTTGTGCTGCAAACAATGAACCTAGACTTAAAAAGCAGTTTTCTGTCAATGAACATCAATGGATAGAGTGGGATTGGTCCTCGGTAAACTTATAGTAACTGCTTCTTTCCTAGTGGGATTCAATTTACTGCATTAGATGGGAACATGGAAAATGGAGACTGGTTCACCACATTTCTTGCACACAAGTAGATCCCCATCAGACAGAAGGTACGAGTGTGTACTGTAAGTGTGCCCATGTCCTCTCCAATGAGCTCAGAGCTTTCATTTCAGAAAAGGCTTTAGGTCACGTGCAGGAACGAACGAGCATGGTTGTATCGGCAGTGCTTTTGTGGGCGGATGCAGCCAGCTGGTCTGCCATTATGTTACCTTGGATGTCGCAGTGTCCTGGCGCCTAGCACACGTCATGCTCTTTGAATATGTAGACTGTGCATAAGTCAGTAAAGCAAGACAAGAACAGGATTTTTGTGTTTCTTTTAAGGAGTTAGTGTAATTTTTAGGAATTGGTGTAAATTACAAAGTTTTGAAGCACTATTTCTTTAATGTAAATATCGCACAGGCTTCTGCTGTGAATGTACTTGCATATCAGGAAGCAGAACACCGGCATTTTAAGAAAAGTTGAACTGACCGGTGCCTATGACACAGAAGTGCGAAACTTTGAGGCATATGTACAATATTTGTGTTGAAGTTCTAGGAAGTACCTGTGGATATGTGTTATAGGCACGTGCTTTGCAATTTTCACAAATTTTATATCACAGTCTATAAGCTATTATGGCAGCAGATATGCAGCAGTTGCCGTTGCCATCAGTGTTCAAGAAGTGGCACACCTGTTTCCTTGGTGAGGCCTCTTACACGGAGTGAGTAGGGCTGTCTCAACAAAGGACGATTGTAGAACAAGGTGGAATTAGACAAATTATTGATGAAGTAAGAGGGGTGTTTTTTCTCCCTGTTCACTTCGAGACAGTAAACAACAGACATGTAACATCTCTACAGGTGGAGCGACCACTCATTCGATTTCACGTACAGGTTTTCTATGGAGCTAGTCCGAAAACCAACCATTAAGAAGGAGAATGCCTAGATGGTCGACAGGGTCGAGCATCTTCAAGGCTGTTGGTGTCGCAGACTGACAGGTTATGGCGCGCAATCTAGGTGCACGTGTATGAGGCTTCTATAAAAATTTATCATACATTTTTTGTCAGTACACAAGGTAATCCTATTAAATGAAACTGTTTTATTGAATGAAATTGCTGCTTAAATGGAACAACTGCCTTTAATGATTGGTTTCGTGCTCAAATTCTGTACCCCTCTTTATCTGTCAATAAACGAAACTCCTGTTACACGAAACACAAAATCTATGCCCAGACTTTACAGACACAAGACCATGCAAGTCTATGTCATGGCCGGGAAGCTTCTTTTTTTGAGGAACAATACGCAAATGCTTTTTCGTGCTTTCAACGTAAATTTGTTGCCCTCAGCCCATTGAGAGACCTTGTTCGAGATTTAGAGCATTGTTGCACAATTTAAAACCAACCTGTACATCAACATATGCACAGTAAAACAGATTGCATGGGATAGCGAGGTGAAAGGAATTCATATCGTCTATAAAAATGCAGGACTCAATACACCACCTTGTGCCTTGTGGCACTCTTGTTACTTGGACAAATGTATGTGACAAAATAGTGCCTTTTCAACACGAAATGTTCAATTGCAGAGGTAGCTTTTGATTGAACATTCTACCCCGCACACCGAAGTGCGCAGGGTCTCCTCGTATGCCGAAGTGCTATGTAGTTTCGTAGGCCTTCTCGATGTAAAGGAACATATTGAAATAACTGAAAAGGGTCATGAACTTGTGCCTCAATACAGGCAAGTTGGTCAGTGGTGGATTTATGGCATATTCGGTTGGGCATTTTCGCGTGCTCTGGAGCGCTCTGAAAAGTGGCTGTGCCTTCGGTTGGTAGAATTCGAGCGCTTGGACTACCTTCAGTTGGTTCTTTCAGAGCGTCAGCCTCCGACTCAGAGCGCTCCCAACTGCTCTGACTGAAGTGAGAGCGTGGCACGATCTGACCGGGAGAACGGATGATGTGACACAAACCAGCCAATCACATGGCTGCGAGCAGGTGAACGAAGTAAATGAAGCGTGCATTTCTGAAGGGTGTATCGCCTGGTGTGTAATACTTCGTGCATGTGCATTGTTAATGGCGCTTTTGCGCATGTGTGGGGCGAATTCAAATCTACGAAGCCATAAGTGCACCATGTCAATTACTAGGCAGCTAGAGAAGGCGGAGGAAACGTCAATGTTGTCGTTACAGCAGCTCGCACACAGCCTCGTGATTTGGCTTAAAAATAGCAGTCGTTACAGCAGCTCGCACACAGCCTCGTGATTTCGCTTAAAAATAGCAGCTAGGATGAGAACAATCGCAGGATTTATGTGCCGAGCTCAGAAGGCTTTCACTACATCCAGACATGTCAGAGAGGGAAAGAATATAACAAAGGTCAGAGATGTCCACTAAAGTGATCAGCACCATTTGTTGACACGACGCAGCAATGTTTACGCGGCAGCTTCCAGCGCTGGCTGCACGGTAGCGCTACAGGTGCGCTGCTCTAGCGCTCCGAGATCGCCGATGTATTAGGTTGCTGCGCTGCCTCTGCATCTGGTGACTCTGAGCCGGAGGACCAAAGCGGCCAACCGAATACACCATTAGACTCTCGAAACCCGCACTGGTATAGGTTAAGTCGGCCAAATATTTCAAGGAAGTGCACGAGTCACCTGTTTATCATTTCCTCAAAAAACCGTGCAGAGATAATTCTATAGTGCTAATGGCCTGTAGGATGATACTGATGACGGGCCCTTTAATTGTTTTAGTATCAGAATAATGAAGGACCATAAGATGCAGGCACTAATTTTTCAACTAGTGCATCTATCTATAAACTAATACAGATTTGAAATCGGCATAAAAAGCTGGGTAATACAGTGAAGTTTGGTTCACACCGACTCAAAAATAAAGAATCACTTTTCAGAACCCACGCCCCTTTAAGAACATTCCATAATGATGGGCCATTAAAAACTAATAATTCCAGATTACCATCCAGATTATCATTTTTGGTCATCTGGGATTAGATGCTCAGCTAATCCCAGCTTGTTCAGTTGCTCAATGGAGCAGCCTAACTTTCAAAGCAGTTTAACAGTAGCTCAATGGGATCACTTCTGAATTTGTAATTCATTCTCGCAGTAAATGATCTGGTGCTGACATAGAGGCCACACACCTTTCAAGCATGCTCTGTCTCTCTTGCGTAGCACGTGCCTCCTGCAGCTGTGACATAGCCCAGGGGCTTTGGGTGGGTGGTGGCAGACCAGGCATCTTCTGGCCCCAAAGCATGTCAACATACGGACTTGGAGCATTGGCCATCAGCAACTGCTGGTAGGCTAGTGGGCTGCTCAGTGGATCTACATGCCCCAGGACGCCTGAGGGAGACTGCAGCCCATAGACAAGCGGTCGAGCACCAGCAGGCTGCTGTACTGCAGGACGCGGTGGTGGGTACAGGCCCGCCGGTGGTTGCTGCTGCTGCTGTGGCGGTAGGGGCTGCTGCTGTTGTTGCTGTTGCTGCTGCTGCATGAGCCGGGTGTGCTGCTGCTGCTGCTGCAAGGACTCCAGATGCGCGGCAAGGCCGGGCGAGTCACGGTAGGCACGACCGTCGGAGGGCCGCGCGTTGGGCTCGCTTTTTATGGGTCCTGCACTGCTGCGCATCGTGGCCGGCGGCGAGCTCGTGCCAGGAACACCCTCTTCATGAGGGCGCTCGGCAGGAGCTGCCTCAGGTGCCTTTACACACGGCACATTATCAGCAGTGCACTGCTGCAGTTGAGTATTGTCCAAACGACGACTCTCGCTTGTCCCAGGTGGTGGCTCAGTGGATGTGGTAGAAACTATGCCCAATAGAGGCGGGGGGTCAGGTGGAAGGCTTTTCTCTTTGATGGAAGATGGTAGCTCACAGTCTACGCCTGCATGGGTGCTGTAGCTAGCTGCTGTTGTGAGATTTGGTGTTGGGCTGGGGCTCTTCTTGCGAAGCTCTTCCTCACGAGTGCACTTTTTCGTGCCAACTTTGCGACGTCTGTCAACTGCACAGCAAAAATACCAATGCCCATATGTTTTACTACTTTTCCACTTACCACATTCGGCAACATCAACTCAAGAATAGAGTTAAGAGTTCAAAAGCTCACGTATTGTTGAAAATACGTCTGCTGTAGCAAAACTGTTCTTGAACCCAGGAGTGAACAGTTAATCTGATGAACACGTTTACTGAGGCATGCGAATCGCAGGTTTGGTTTTAAGTGCAAAGTGATTCACACGTGGCACTATGCCTGTATCTTACTTTGCTCCAACGAAATGGAGCTGCCACCTATGGAGCTGGTGCTCAGCACCTTTATTTGAGAAGACGCAAAGTTGTTTCCTGCCTTCTTCGCATAGATTTATGTTTAAACACGAAGTGATTGTCACACACACAAAAAAAAAAAACACATGGAATTATTGCATTTGACTTTTTTCATAGGCGGTGCGCTTTCTTTGTGTCCGTAAATGGAACGAGCTTCTCATAGGGGGACTGAAAAGCTTCGGAGCAGTCGAGAAAACTCCAACACTTAATGCAACGGGACATATTTCTAAAGCTGCGGGAAAAGTTTGCAATCAACACATCAAAGCAACATGCTGCCACTGTTTCTAAAAAACAATCGTGCAACCTCGCGTCCAGTGAAATAGATTATATATTAGTTGCAATTTAGAACCTACGATGATAGCACCAGACGGAGAGTTACCACACGTGGATCACACTGCACATAGCACAACATTTTTGTTGAGTGTGTCGCGGACAAGGCATGTGTATCCTCCTGCGACAAAAATCATACTTCTACATTCAAGTGTCATTAAGTTAGCGCAGCCGCAAGCAGATAAATGCACGTAAATTCGCAGCTGCATACAAGAGAACACGCTGTGGCCCACTGGTGACCCATGACGCTGTAAATGTGTTATGTAACAATATCACTGATACATTAATTTACATACTGTTCATTTTGGCTGCCTTAGATATGCACACACAGGATACCTGTGGTTAGACTCCCAATATTTCATGTGGCGGCTTTTTGACAGACCCTCAGAAAATAATTCAAAAACAGTCTACTGATCCTCAACCATTTATACTTTTCCACGGCAGGCACTCCGCCCACCCCCATAAGCTTCAGTGGCCAGCACTGCGCTAACTCCCTAAAAAGCGCTTGTTTCTTGCATTTTGTTAATCAGTGACAGATACATGCCCAATGTTTTCAGAGCAACCAGCTCCAAAGAGAAAGTGATCAGAATCCAGACAATTTTTTTTTTTTTTTGCAAACATCGTGACACAAAAAAGTTGAGGTTCTCAAAAGAGACTTTCAATTTCTGAGTGTGATGCTGAAAGCAACCATTTTAATGATGAGCATTTTTTACTAGAGGGTCTGACCATGAAAGCACTCAAAAAACGAGTATTTGTCGCTGCCTTTGGAGGCGCCAAAAGTTGCAGAATCGAGTTCAAAGAAAAACCAGCATCGGTGAAACATCTTTTCATCGGTTGTGAAACTGGCCTTGCAACTAAAATTTGGTAAAGGCAAATGAGCTATATTCACTGGAAAGTAAACCTGGCAGAGGAAATCAGTCCTCAGTTTGCTCTATACTAAGCCTGAAAGCTATTTCGAGTGCGTCAAGTGCACAACACCACTTTCATGCTTCAAGTTAGCATACCTTTTCTGTTAAAATGCCTGAACAGTAACCAAGAAATTTTACGGTGCACCACATGCCACCAACAAGCTCAAGAAGGTAGTGCAGAATACAGATAAAGAAACCGCACCGAACGAAAGGTTAACAAAAGGTAGTTTCTAATCCAGTACAAAAAGACTGATTTCTAATTCAGTACCAGGTGACACTTCATTGGACAACAAGCAGTTAGGAAATGGCAGTTGCTAATCAAGTACATAATGTTATTTCTAATTTAGCACCCGGCAAGACTAAATTGGAGATTAAATGCAGGTCTTGTAATGCAGAGAACCAAGTTTCCACCATTATAGACACAACTCTGTATCACAGGGGACATCAGTAGCTTCGTGAACACCAGGGCACATCAGAACATCAGGTTAACGTCAGGCACATCGCAACCACTTGCCAACACACGACCCTCAAAATTTGCGGTTTCTCTATGTTTCGAGATTTCCTTTTGCATATTAATGAAACTGGTTTGGACAAGTGCATAGGAATATTCGGGAAAATTCGATGAACAGCACCAAGCCTAAGTGTACACCTATCACGTAGAATTTTGACGTTTTTGCCTACGGTGTGTGCCCGTAGCAATTGATTAGGTTCTCGAATTCGAAATGTAGATCGTGAATGTAGGTTTCGACTGTTACCTGGAAGGCTTTTCGTCGAATATCAGCTGCCCAGGCCTTGATAACTGCAGGGTCATTTGGGACTTTGAAGAAGTGCCACCGATCGCAAGTGATTTCTTCGGTGGCATAGCCATTTTGACTGCCCGGGGCGCTAAAGGTCGGCATGTTTACCATATGTAAAACTGCTAATTCACTCAGGCCTGCTTGATCGTCGTGTCACATGTGAAATACAATTTGAGATGACCGAAACCTTCAAGCTCCCGCCGCTGTGGTCTGAGCAAGCGAGCAACAACAAAAAAAAAGGAAAAAACTTCAACGCTGCTGTGAAAAGTGACGAGTAGCCGCTGCCGCCGGCTCGATCTCAATGCTACACCAGCACCACCCTCGGAGCGGATACAATTTGGTGCCAGCAGGCATTTCCCACCGATAGTATCTAGAAACGTTGACGCTCAAGATTGCAGTCCCACCAGAACTTTCTGCAAATGTGCATTTGTCTCATGGCAGATTGTCTCATGGCAGAAAGCCCAAGAGGTCACCATATCTACAGGATTACTTACGGCTTTAAATAATTAGCCAGTCATGCCGCTTTAGTTACGTAGGCGAAAAACTATCGGGAGATACATAATTTCAACAAAAATACTTCTCGAATTTTCTCTAGTAATTTCACCTCTTTTTAGCTGATACATGAGGCATTCGAATGAGATATTGTGCATATTTATAGTCCAATAACCAAGGCAAGTTTTTCATCCTGTGGTTTTCCCCAAAAACCGGTTTTCTCCCAAAAAGATAAATTTTTGTTATTTTTTTTCCAGACTATCTGCTATCTATATCTTCAGGGCCTCGATTACTTTTAATTGGTAGCATGTCAAACAGGCTACCAGCACATATTTTATTTGTGTACTTTGAGTTTGCAATGTTTTCTGGAAAAATTACAAGTTTGGCAAATTTATTCAATATTGCTCATGCAAAAAGCCCTCGAAGAATGTAAGTAAATAAATGTAAATAAGTAAGTCATTACTTTTACAGTTAGATCACTTCATTACCTTGCCGCAAATACCATTTTACCTAGTGCATTCCTAAAACGTTTTAAAAAAATTGTTTGATGCCCTCTAGCTGAGTCGGCACTAAACTACAGACTAATAAAAAAGATAGGAAAATATTTGGCAACGGAAATGAATGACCAGAACGAGTTTCGAGAAACGTGGAAATTTTATCGACCATATTCATGATGGTCGGTAAAACGCTGAATGAATTGGCATGGAATGACCTAAATGACAAACAGGGTGACAGGCCATGTTGTACAAGTAATATTGTATTAGTGGTGCGATGCCCATGCACTCCCTAGAATTAAAAAAAAAAAAGCACCAATGGAGCTACGAGACTGAAAAGGCGAGTCCAAAAGTGGCAAAAGGAACTGTCCTGTCCAGCTTGTTCAAATATTTCAGAAGGGCTGAATGGTCACACATACGTGCAAGACATCCTCCAGTATTACATTTTTTTGCTTCTACACAATCAGTCTGTCAACGTGCATCCAGTCTTAACACCACACAGACCAACAGCAGTAAAATTTAAGACGCATGCAACCCCAAACTGTGAAAACTAAATTAAATATCCTGCTGTTATTTACCAGAGCTTTATATGTACACCACGATTTCAAAAATCTGATCAGGAGTTCTGATCAAATAACTGCAAACTAATCCTCCAATATAATAAAACAAGGAATAAAGATATTTGTACAAATGGGATTGAACTTTCATGAAAATACGAATATATGAACACACAGCAAAGAAAAGAATGCAAGGTAGATGTTTTAATCAGGAATTTAAGGGCAAAAAAAATATGTAGGCACAACTTTGTGTTGTCATTAGTAAACTTCCATTTTCTTCCGCTACAGCGGCAAGAGATAATTTTGTGATAATGAGATTTGGATGCATAATTACTTTTAATGACTCATCAAATACTTAACAGGGTACTGACAATACAGTAAATGCTGAGGATATTTTGTTTTGACATTAGGGTTAATTTGTGAATAGTGCATATACTGACATCGACGCTATCAGCATGCCAGGGCACAGTATCCATTCTGGTAATGTTACGTCTCAGTTTGGGTACTTGTGATGGTGCGAGTTAACAAAACAAGGGAAATGGCTGTTCGTAAATCAATGAAACCGCTCAATATGGCCACTTGTGTGTCAACATGTCAAGCCATAGAGCAGAGCAACGGTGGAAATGTTCATGATTATCTTGAACACAATTAAAAGCTCATTCAGTGCCATGATATCAAGGTACAGTGAATAGTAGGAACCGAACCAACATGCTTTAAAAAAACATTTAAATTAATTTTTCCTAGTGAATACAAGCTTATTACATTTTTTAGGCTTTGGGGACTGACCTTTCATTTGACAAAAAAAAAAAAAAAACGTGACTACTGAAAATTTGTCACCACTAACTCTTTTGTTACCACGAGAAAAAAATCGGCTATTTTTCATTTGTCTCTGAAAAAGAGTTGTTTCCAGTTTAAAAAGTACTCCCGCCAACATTACAAAATATTTATGCAAAATCAAGTGCTCTTTTAAAAAATTACAAGCTATAAAGCAACAAAAATAGTGTAAAAAAATTGAAGTACTTTTTGGCTGCCAGCTGAAAGAGCAATAAAAAAAACTATGCAAAAACATTCAAAACAGCTCACATAAATATGGCTTGGGTATTTCCAG